TTTTTTTTTTTTAATAATAGCCATTATTTAAAAAGGTTGGTGCGAAACAGTAACTCATTGTGGTTTTGATTTGCATTTCTCTAATGATTGCTGATGTTGAGCACTTTTTCATATATGCGTTAGCCGCAGGTATTTTTTTGAGATGTTCTGTTCATGTCCTTTGCCCACTTTTTATTTTTTATTTTATGTTTCCATAGGTTTTTGGGGCACAGGTAGCATTTGGTTACATAAGTAAGTTCTTTGGTGGTGATTTGTGAGATTTTGGTGCACCCATCACCCGAGCAGTATACACTGCACCCTATTTGTAGTCTCTTATCCCTCGTCCTCCTCCCACCCTTCCCACCAAGTCCCCAAAGTCCACTGTATGGTTCTTATGCCTCTGTGTCCTCATAGCTTAGTTCCCGCATATCAGCGATAACATACAATGTTTGGTTTTCCATCACTGAGTTACTTCACTTAGAATAATAGTCTCCAGTCTCATCCAGGTCGCTGAAAATGCCGTTAATTCATTCCTTTTTATGGCTGAGTAGTATTCCATCGTATATATATACCACAGTTTCTTTTTCCACTGGTTGATTGATGGGCATTTTGGTTGGCTCCACAATTTTGCAATTGCAGATTGTACTGCTGTAAACGTGTGTGCAAGTATCTTTTTCATATAATGACTTATTTTCTTCTGGGTAGATACCTAGTAGTGGGATTGCTGGATCAAATGGTAGTTCTACTTTTAATTCTTTAAGGAATCTCCACACTGTTTTCCATAGTGGCTGTACTAATTTACAATCTCACCAGCAGTGTAGAAGTGTTGCCTGACCACTGCATCCATGCCAACATCTACTGTTTTTCGGTTTTTTTTATTATGGCCATTCTTGTAGGAGTAAGCTGGTGTGGTTTTGATTTGCATTTCCCTGAGTGATGTTGAGCATTTTTTCATACGTTTGTTGACCTTTGCCCACTTTTTTTTTTTTTTTTTTTTTTTTGAGACGTAATCGCGCTCTGTCACCCAAGCTGGAGTGTAGTGGTGCAATCTTGGCTCACTGCAACCTCCGTCTCCCAGGTTCAAGTGATTCTCCTGCCTCAGCCTCCCAAGTAGCTGGGACTGCAAGTGCACACCACTATGCACAGCTAATTTTTGTATTTTTAGTAGAGACAGGGTTTCACTATGTTGGCCAGGCTGGTCTTGAACTCCTGACCTTGTGATCCACCCACCTCAGCCTCCCAAAGTGCTGGAATTACAGGCGTGAGCCACCATGCCAGCCTCCTTTGCCCACTTTTTACTGGGCTTATTTGAAGGCATTGTACTACTTGACTTCAAACTATACTACAAGCCTACAGTAACCAAAACAGCATGGTACTGGCACAACAACAGTCACATAGACCAACGGAAAAGGATAGTAAACCTGAAATAAAGCTGCACACCTACAACCATCTGATCTTTGACAGTCAACAATCACAAGCAATGGGGAAAGGACTTCCCTATTCAATAAATGGGATAACTGGCTATCCCTATGTAGAATGAAACTGGACCCCTACCTATCACAATATATAAAAATTAACTTAAAATGGACTAAATATTTAAATGTAAGACCTAAAACTATAAATATCCTAGAAAACCTAGGAAAATACCATGTTGGACATTGGCTTTGGCAAAGACTCTATGACTAAGTCCCCCAACAAAACAAAAACAATTGCAAAAAAATAAAAATTGACAAGTAGGCCCCAGTCAAACTGAAGAGCTTTTGCACAGCAAAAGAAACCATCAACAGAGTAAACAGACAACCTATGGAATAAGAGAAAATATTTGCAAACTAGGCATCCAGCAAAGGTCTAATATCCAGAATCCACAAGGAACTTAAATAAATCACTATGCAAAATCTTTTCTTGGTTTCTTTTTCTTTTCTTTTTTTTTTTTTTTTTTGGCTCGCTCCCTCCCCCCCAAAAAGAGGGAGGGAGGGAGGGAGGGAGGAAAGAAGGAAGGAAGGAAGGAAGGAAGGAAGGAAGGAAGGAAGGAAGGAAGGAAGGAAGGAAGGAAGGAAAGAAGGAAGGGAACTTACTCTGCTTAACAGTAAGGAAAATAGAAACAAAAAAGAAGTTATAAGAAGCATGACACTAGTCACATTTTAGAAGTCCCTTTCTTTACCTGCAGAGCCAGCAAGCTTTCAGAGTTCCCAAGAAAACCACCTTTTAGTATTTAAGTCCTTCCCTAGTCCTAGCTTTCGTTTGCTCCCGCCTATCCAGGAAGGGCCCAGAGGAGAGCAGAAGGATAGATTTACGACCAGATCACCAAGGTTGACATAAGGAGGGCATTTTCCCTTTAGAGTCCTGCTAATAGGAGGGTCAAGGTGATTTCCTCAATCTCCTTGGCCTCTTTGTTAAATTAAAAAGGGTTAAATTTAGCATTCCTAGTCTCTTGGATACTCCCAGAGAAGGTATTGACCATGACCTCTTGGGCATGTTCTGAGGCTGCTCAGGCCCCATGTTGGAATGATGCTTCCCTGAAGCCCTGGCCACAGCCAAGCATTTCTTCTAAACTGCTTGAGGTGGCAAGATGCTTGGGACATCTGTTTCTTAATTTTATATGGACCCAGCCCAGAACCACAATCACCCAAGAGCATAGGAAACCTGTGGCCATGATTTTGACGATGAAAACTGTGGTTCACGAAACTCAGGGCTTCCATTTTTGGCTTCTTGACACTCAAGGCAGTTTTTCATCAAAAAGCCCTTCAAAAAGGAGACTGGTTTCCATATTAGGAAGGAAAATCTATACTCTGCCAACTCCAGAAATGTTCTTACAACATTGTTGGTTTACTCCATCTCACTGCCTCTTTCATACACACCCCATAGCAGGAGGCCCCAGCTTTGGAGCCCAGCCTGTGTCTGCATCCCTGCACATCTCAGCCGCAGGCACATGATGCCTTGAGCCTCAGTAAGCATGCTGGATAGACAGAGCCCCTGACATGATTTGGACAATGGCATGTTGGCTTTTTATTTTGGCTTTCTCTGAATGACTCTCATGTTTTGTGAATCGGGTAGAATCCTGGCCCTGTCAGTGGGTCTCAGCTTATCTGACCATCACCTTGGTCAAAGTATTGAGGCTTGGAACAATTTCGCTCCCTCTCACCATTGTCTCCAACCTCAGACATTTAACACAGTGGCCTTTCTCTTTCTCCTTGAGGTTTCTATGTGTCCACAGGGGGACACGAAGCTGCATTCCTTAAGGTGCTCCGTGATAAGTGTCAGATTACTGCCTTTCTCCTATTATGGGAATATTTTCCTTCCAAGAATATAACATTACCTAGTAATAAGGATAAGAACAAGAAATAGAAGGGCGAAGGAGAAGTAGGAGGAGGAAAAGGAGGAGGAGGAAGAAGAGAAAGGGACTTTATATGTATTTTTTAAATGTTCTGTTTGGAGATAATTATAGATAAGCACACAATTTTAAGAACTTATGCAGAGATCCCTGATACCCTCATCCAGTTTCCCCCAAAGGTAACATCTTATGTCACTATAGCGCAACATTACAACCAGGAAATCAACAGTGATACAATCCATAGTTCTCACTCCGGTGCCGTCAATTTTACATGCACTCATTTGTGTGTGTTTGTGTATGTGTATCTGTGCATCTGTGCGTGCATTTAATTTGATGGAATTTTGTCACATGCATTGATTCATGTGACCACCATCATGGTTAAGATACAGAACAATTTCATCACAAGGATCCTTTGCACCAACCTTTTATAGCTACACCCACCTGCCTCTCCCCCAGTCTCACCTCTGACAACCACTAATCTGTTCTTCATCTCTATAATTTTGTCACTTTAAGAATGCAATATAAATGGAGTCATACAGTACATAACCTCTTATGATTGGCTTTGTTCACTCAACAGAATTCACCGGAGCCTCGTCCAAATGGCTGTGTATATCAGTAGTTGCTGAGTCCTGTTCGGTAATACAGCACCATTGTGTGTTTAGCCATCATTAGTTGAAGGACATCTGAGCTGTTTCCAGATTTTAGCTATTGCAAATAAAGCTGCAATGAGCATTCATATACAGATTTTTGTGTGAACACTGTTTTCATTTTTCTGGGATAGATTCCCAAGAGTGCAATTGCTGGGTTGTATGGCAATCGTATGTTTAGTCTTATAAGAAATTGCCAAATACTCTTCTAGAGTGGCCGTACCATTTTACATTTCCACCAGCATATGAGTGACCCCATTACTCTACATCCTCATCAGCATTTGGTGTTGCCACTATCTTTTCGGTTTTATTTTTAGCCATTCTGATAGGTAGGTAGTGGTATCTTACTTGCATTGCTTAGTGGCTCATGATGTTAAACATTTTTTCATGCACTTATTTGTCATCTGTACATTCTCTTCAGAGAAATGTCTTTTCCCCATTTTCTAATTTGATAATTTTTTAGCATTGAGTTTGAAGACCTCTTTATATACTATAGGAACTAGCACTTTGTCAAATATGTGCTTTACAAACATTTTCTCCCCATCTGCACTCTTCTCTTCCCCTTCACCAGGTCTTTCAATGAGTGAGAGTTTTTCATTTTGATGAGTTCGGTTTATCAATTTTCCCTTTTATGGATTGTGCTTGTGAGGTTCAGCCTAAGAACTTTTCATCTAATCCTAGGTCCAGAATATTTTCTCTAACAATTTTTATAGTTTTACATTTTATGTTTAAGTTCATGATTCATTTTTAGTTAATTTTTCAGGTGTGAAGTATCAGTTGGTTCATTCTTTTGCCTAGGAGTATTCCTAGTATATACCTAAGGAAAGTAACCTTTAAAAATATACCTAGTATTTAGGTATATTTTATGGATGATAATCCTAATAACCGTTCCAAAAGGTTGTTGTAAGAATTATAACCTTTAAAAATATACTAGGTATATTAAACTAATATTATATTATATTATCATGTTATATTAGTATAATATTATACTAATATAATGAAACATAATATTATACTAATAATGAAGGTTTATTTTTAAAGATTATAATTCTTACAGCAATGGTTTGGAATGGTTATTATGATTATCATCCATTTTACAGATGGCGAAACCCAGAAAGATTTGGTAATGTGACCAAGGTTAAACAAATGCTAAGTGATAGAAAGAAGTCAGGGTTTAAATGCGGGTCTGACTGACTGACTCACTCCAGCATTTAAACCTGTTCCTATTGCCTCATTCAATCCCTTTTGCTCTGGGAGTCCTGCTTCCTGAACAGATGTTCCAATTTCCTGCATACATTCCTTTACCCTGACCAACCTCAGTACACAAGCTACCAGAACCTGTCCAGGGTTCTCTGTGACACGTTTGCAGGGTGGAGAACAGGGGCAGGCTGGGAAACTTCCCTATATGCAAATAGCTTGTCATTCCGATTTGGGGAAAGGCTCACATCGGATTTTGGCGTCTTCTAAAGTATTGCAGAGCTACTGTACCAGCTCACTTGCCTGGGAGGGGCAGGCTAAACATTTTAGGTTCCCCGAAGACAATCACACATACACACAAAATTCATTTAATAACTCCAAGTCCAGAACACTTCCATCTTCATCTGCCCAAACAAAATACACGAATAGAGGTCAGGCAGAAGGACTCAGAGCATTTTGGGGTAAAACGTCTATGGCTAGAACCTGTTCCTTGCCCCTTCTGGTGGGTGGGGGGTCATAGTTGAACTCTAACCACCTCATTATCCATTCCCATTTGTAGGTAGATATGGGTAAAGGTCAAGTTTCCCTCCCAACCCCCCAGCTCTCTCCCCTCCACACACTGGCTGCTGACGTCCCAGCCAGCCAGGACCTAGGGACTTCTGCACTCAGACCACTGGAAAGAAACCGCAGCCTCTGAGTTGACTTTGCTCTTTTGCAAATCCCTAAACCTCACCCTACTTTTAATGAGAGATCCAGGAGTTCTTTGCCTCTGTGACCTTATACTCAGAAAGGGTCCCTCCACTTAACAACTTCTCCCAGAGCTTATCCAAAGACTACTAGGCCTTTGCCCTGGCCCATGTTAGACAGCTATAAGGAGCAGCACAATCCCAGTCAAATGATCCAGTCCCTCTGGGTCAATGAATGTGTCTATTTTGCCTGATTCCTCAGAAGCCTCGAGGGTGCTTGAACCCACGCAGAGAGTTTCAACAGGTGGGTCAGCAGTAATACGCCCTGCCCCTGCAGTTCCTCCACCTCCAGCCCTGTGAGAAATTCAGTGGTGTTTTGTTCGGGATCCTGGCAACCTGCCTTGAGCCCTGGGTGTCCCCTCCTCTAGGAATGATGCTTTCTTCAGCATTCCTGTGACAGTCTCTGCAGGCAGACAATGGCAGCTTCTGGTAACTTCCTCTCCCTGGAGAGCCGCTTCAGGTATAAGTGGATCAAGGGGAATTGCTGAAATGACTCAGGCCATTCACCCCTGGTATTTCCTCCAGGAGCTGAGATAAGTCTCCTGAATGTCAAAGATCTGGGCCGCAGTCAAACTTCTGAAGGGCTAGGTGGCTGGTCACCTTCCCGGTCTCCATTTTCACCCTCCCAGTAAAGGGTATGAAACATCCTCTTAACCTCCTGGTCTCCCTGACAGTAATGTCCTTTATCACCTTCCAAACTTCTTTGGCAGAGGCTTTAAACTGGGGCAGGCAGGGCTACTGCAGCAGCAATGGGTTCTGTCATGCCCTGCCTTGCTCCAGCCAAAGCTAGCCGGGGGCCTCCCTCTGACATACGTCTGGGGGATATGTCCTGCTCCGGATGCAGTTTCCATCATCTCCACCCTCTTCCAGGGGGCATGACTCTCTCTCTCCCTTCTTTGTATTCATAAAAGGCTACTCCCTGATCCTCCCTTGGCTAACCCATTTCCATAGAAACTAAGAGACCTGAGTTTGAATATCAACTACCACTTACTAGCTATGTGTCCATTCATTACTTATTGTCTTAAGGCCAGTTTCCACATCTATAAATAGGAGATGTTGACCTCATAACATTGTTGCAAGATGAACAAGATAATATCTGTAAAGCAATGCAGTAACTGAAATAGTCACTGATCCTGGAACAAAGTGAATGTTCAATTCATAGTGGCTATCACTAGTTTCTATGACAACTGTCTCCAGGCCCAATCTTTGGTCCTTAATCTGCTTGCCAGAATTCATCCTGGAAGTTGCAGGTAAGTTGTGGAGGGAGCAAGTTCTCCAGCTTCCACAGGGAGTTTCTGTTTGCCTATCACGCCTACACTGTTCCCTGGGAGTCTGGTGGGCTTGTGGCACGGATGAGGGGCTCTACAGGTTTGGGCTGAAGGCAAGGCACTTCCTCCTCTGGTAGGGTGGGCTCCTCAAACCTGACAGTGGTCACTTTGAGGGTTCCTTGTGGACTTACCAGCTGTAGGCGAGAAGTGGCTGATTCTGCCTTGTGTGGCCACAGGTCCTGCAGGTATACCTGTCTCTGGGCAATGGCTCGCTTGGTCAGTGCCCCTGGGGAGACCCGTCTGTTCAAGAACTTGTCATTTTCCCTGCTCTAGGGTCTCCAAGGTGAGAGGGCAATCCCATGGACCCAGAACCCAGGAGAACCTTCAGGCTCAGCACTGGTCATGCTCCAGCTAGAGCCTCCTCTTATCCCTGGCAACAAACTGCCCCTAGTAACTGGGCCAAGGAGGCCACTTCCCCCGTGGCCACCCCGAGGCTGGGGTCCATCCCTCTGAGGTTAGGTAGAGCGCAGCCCCAGGAAGGGAGTCCCCTGCAGACAGGAGCCCAGCCTCCCCCGCCACTCTGTCCCTGCTGACCCCTCCTTGGTAACCTATAGCACACCAAGGCTGGCTGGCTAACAAACAAACAAACAAAACCCTAACAAGACCGAAGGAAACATGAAACCAGTCAGACCAACAGATTCAGACCAGAAAATCCCCATTAAAATTGTTTGAGTCCCATACTTGCTGGATAGGGGCAGGGGTCCAGGCCTGAATCCTTCATAAACCCTCTTGAATACACTGCAGGAATGCATTAACCGATGTCACTTAGCTTGGGGCCTAAATAAACTGGATCCAACTTCTCAGGCTGGACTTCTTCCAGCTTCGGTTCACCTCCCAGCATCCCTCCCTACAGAGAACTGGGGAAGACGGGGGAAATGCGAGGGCTTCGGAGGGAAATACCCTCTCCCCAGGCCCAGGTCGCTCCATCCCTGCTGGGGCCTCAGAGCTCATGTCTGGGATTTCCCCACCTTCGCGGGGCAGGAGCGGCTCCCCTTGGGCGGGGAAGGAGGCAGTGCCGGCTCGTCTCCCCTTTCCCCTCTCCCGGCCGGAGGAGCAGGAAGCGGCTGCTCCTTGGGCCACCCAGGCAGCAGCCCCAGCGAGGAGTGCGCGGCGCGGAGACAGAGAAGGGCCAGGCGGCCGCACCGACCCCATGGCCGCCGACCCCACGGAGCAGCGGCTGGGCAGCCTCCCCGTCTTCACTCGCGGCGACTTCGAGAGCGACTGGCGCCTAGTGGCCAGCGGCGGCTTCAGCCGGGTGTTCCAGGCGCGGCACAGGCGCTGGCCGACAGAGTGCTCCATCAACTGCTCCCTGCCTCCCGCCCGACGCCACCAGGGACTGCCAGCCACGCCCTCCCCTTTCTCGGAGGAGAAACTGAGGCCCGGCAAGCTTTGGACCCAGGGAGCTTGCGAGGAAGGAGTGGGTTGAGTTTGGGGCTGAGGACTGTCCCCCGCAGTGTCTCTGAATTCCACCCAGTAGCCTGAGCCTCCCAGGCACAGCCATACCTGTCTCCCTAACCAAAATAGAGCTGGCACACAATACCTATTTGTAGACTCAACAGAGGTCAAAGGCAAGCGGGAACTACCTACCAAAGACTCCTTTATCCTATCTAACCTTCCGAACTTGTCCTGCCTCCTTCCATCCTTCTCTACAGCGCCTTCTTCCCCGGGTGTCCTGCGGCAATGACTGCTCTTGACTGCTCTCTGCCCCCCTCCTACTCACCCCAACTCTCAGGGCAGGGCTGAGCTTCCTGGGAGGCTGTGGCACTTTGCTCAGTGATCTGCAGGGAATCATGTTCTCTCTTCCCATGGTGGGTAGAGGGAGGAGGCCCCTCCCAACCAGTGCAGGCTGAGGAGGTCGGGGGATGGAGACTGCCTGACCTGATGGCCTGTACAGGCCCCTGGAAGGTCAAGTCTGGAGTTCTCTAATGTCTGTTTTTGTTTTTGTCCCTTACCCTCGTCACGTGCACTATAGCCACACCTTGACATGCCCCCATTTTTCTCTTCCTACCTCTTTCCCACTGTTTCCATTGTTCTCTGTCTTCCCACTGATTTGGAATCCAGTCTCATTCCCACTGGAGTTGCATATACTAGCTGTGTGCTTGCACTTTGCAGCCATGAAGAAGACACTCGGGATGTTAAATCTGAGCATGATAATCATGTCCTCCAAGGCTCTGGGGCATCAATTAGAGAGTTTGGGGCGGGAGCCTCTCCGACTGGCATCTGGCTTGGATGCTATCTGTGGTTCTCTAGGATTACCATGCAAACCCTTAAGACACAGCCTCAGGTGCCACACACTGAATTCCCAGGCCTTCCCCCACCTTTTGAGGAGAGGAAAAATGAAATCGCCCAAGGCCCACTCACCTTCCTCCCTCAACATCTGCCTGTTGGTTTTGGAGGAGGGTCAGATTATGCTAGGATTTGTCTAAATCATTTATAGCCTTTGGAATATAGAACGAAATGAAACAGATGGCAGTGACATGATTACACTGTGAGACATTGATGCTAACTCCTGCCGCTTTCCCTTCCCAAGTTCTGGGAATTCACTGGGTGGAGGGGTAAGATAATTAATGGTAATTAAGGCTTAGTATGTATGGATTACTATACTAGGAGCTTTACATGCGTTACTTTACTAGATCTTCTTTCCAGCTATTCATTCATTCATCCACTTGACAAACGTTTATTGCTCTTCTACTATGTGTCAGGCACTGTTCTACACCCTGGGATTAATGATAAATGCAACAGATGTGTCCTTTCTCTCCAGGAGCTTGCAGCCTAGGGGGAGGAAGACGTTAACTAGATAATCCCCCATGTAAATGTAAATGTGCAACTGTGAGAAGCTTAAGAAGGGGAGATTTGTGGTTCTAAGAGAGCTCATTAATAGAAAGTTTGAGATCAGAAAAGGCTTCCTTGAAGAAGTTACGCTACAGCTGAAACGTGAAGAATGAGTGAGTTAAGTAGGTGAGGAGGAGAAAGTTTTCCAAGAACAGACAACAGAGTGTGCAAAGAATCTGTGGCAAGAGGGGCATGGTAAGTACAAAGATGGGAAAAGGCCATGATGGCTGGAGATGGGAGAGTAAAAGAGCAGTGGAAAACCACTGAGCATTTACAGCCAGGTAGCAGTGGTGATAATGGGAGGGATTAATCAGAATTGCAGTATGGAGAATGCATTGGGAGGGGTACAGTGGATGCTGGTCAAGTTAGGAGATTGTTATCTTCATTCTGACAAGAGATGGGTAATCGGGGCTAGACTGGAGTGTTGGTAGTGGAGATAGGAAAGGAATGGGTTAAGCCATATTTAGAAGCTAAAAATCCACCTGACTTGGTGCTGGATTAGTCATGGGGAGGGTCATGGTGAGGAAGAGGGGTATTAAAGCTAACTTGATGTCTGGCTTGCCCAAAGGAATGGAGGGTCCACTAAAATGTGCACTCCATGAGAGTGTCTGTTTTGGTCACAGCTCTTTGTCTCCTGTGCCTGGCACATAGTTGGTGTTCAATAAATATTTATTAAATGGCAGTGTTGACAATTAATGAAGAGAATATGAAAAGAGGCCTAGGTTTGGAAAGGAAGATCATGAGTTCAGCTTTGTACCTGTTGAGTTTCAGATGCCTTTAAATAGTCAAGAAGTGTTGTCAAGCGGACGTCAGAGTAAAGGTTGGTGTTAAGAATATTAAAACTTGGGAGTCATTTGTTATAAGTGGTCATTAAAACTAGGGCATCAGGCCGGTCCTGGTGGCTCATGCCTGAAATCCCAGCACTTTGGGAGGCCAAGGCTGGTGGATCACCTGAGTTCAGGAGTTCAAGACCAGAATGACCAATATGGTGAAACCCCGTTTCTACTAAAAATACAAAAATTAGCTGGGCGTGGTGGCAAGTGCCTGTAGTCCCAGCTACTCAGGAGGCTGAGACAGGAGAATTGCTTGAACCCAGGAGGCAGAGGTTGCAGTGAGCCAAGGTCACGCCATTGCACTCCAGCCTGGGCGACAAAAGTGAGACTCAGTCTCAAAAAAACAAAACAAAACAAAACAAAACAAAACAAAAGCATGGATGAGATGCATTCATTCCAAGCACTAAGTGAAAAAATCAAAGCCCCTGACCTCATGAAGCTTATAACCTAAAGAAGGAAGACAAAATAAATAGCAAATGAATAATAAACTTTTTAGCTATAGCACTCATGACCACCTGACAGTTCTTAAGTAAAATATCTAAGGAGAGTTGAGAAGTCTTGTTTTCTAAGAAATGGTTTGGTCTAAAAATATTAATGCCAGGGCCCTCTGTGTATAGGGGAGATAAGAGTTGGGATGAGGTTGCTTGCTTTATGTAGACTCCTCTGTGAAATACACACTAATTAGGTACCATTTGAGTAGAGATTTGAAGCAAGTGAAGGGGTAATCCATGTGGCTCTGTTAGGGAGGAGTGTTCTAGGCAGAGAGAACAACAGGTGCAAAGGTCCTAAGGTGGGACCACACTGGGCACGGTGGAGGAACAGTGAGAAGCCCGTGTGCCAGGAGCACAGTGAAAGGGGAGTGATTAGGAGAGGAAGTCAGCAAGTTGTGCCTGGGGCTGGGGACAAATCTTGTAGGACCTTGTCAGCCATGAAGGAACTTTGGCTTTTACCGTGATGAGGAGAGCCATTGGAGAAGGGCGGTGACATGCTGTGACTTAGATTTTAAAATATGACTTTGGCTGCTGGTTTGAGAATGATTGTGGAGAGGAAGTGAGAGAAAGAGAGAGTCCAATTAGGAGGCTTGGGGCAAGATGCACCTTGCGGGAGAGGTGGTGAGAAGTGGTCAGCTTGTTGCTCGACAGTACTTTGAAGCTGGAGCTGGCAGGATTTGCAAAGACTTGACTGTAGGAAGTGAGAGGGAGAAAGGAGTCAAAGATGACACGAGGGTTCTATTCTGAGGACTAGAAGGACAGAGGCCCCATTCACTGAAATGATGAAAACTGGAGGAAGAGCAAGTTTCAGGGGAAAATCAGGAGGTTAGCTTTAAACGCATTTGGTATTGAATATCCAACTGGAGATGTCGAGATTGACTAGAGAAAGATTATAGAGGGAGAGGAGCAAAGAAGAGGCGCTTGGACCAAGCCCCGTGGTCAAGTAACATGATATGAGCTTGCAAAGGAAACAGAGAGGAAGTGACCAGAAAGGTAGGAGAAACGCAGGAGAATGTTGACACATGGCTCAAGTAATGAAGTTTCAAGAAAAAGAGTGAGAGATCTGAACTATACACTGAGAACTGAAAACTGTTGGTTAGATATAGCAATATAGAGGCTGTTGGTGACTTTAGCCACAGGTGTTCAGGGAAGTGCAGGTACCAAAAACTAGACAAAAGTGGCAGCAAGATGAGGAAGAGGAGAGACAGCAGTCAATGCTCTCAAGACTTCTGGGTATGAAGCTATGAAAGAACTGTGCAAGGCAGTTACAATAATTCCCAGTTTTTAGTTTAGAAACAGGCTCAGAGGATCCACTTGCCCAGGGTCATGCAGGTAATAAGGGGTGAAACTGGGATTTGAAATCAGGGCAGTGTGATCCCCACATCCCATGCTTTTTTCCATGTCATGGCAGATGTCATTGGTTCCTGTGAACCCAAGAGGATGAGAGAAGACAGATTAAAAATATCACAGAGGTGGAGAAGAGATCTCTGGCACAAGTAAATAAGAATGGGAGAAACCTACACTAGCCAACCTGTCCAGATGCCAGCAAGAGCGTGTGGTTTTTCCTGAAGGTTGGGGCTCTCCAGTTGGCTTCCCAGGGAGGCCCCAGAAGCGCATTGCCAGCAGGCTCTGACTGCAGCAGCATCACAGTTTTGCAAATACTGTGCTCTCAAATCTGTCATTTCTCCTTAATCCCCATCCCTGCAATCCCAAAACAATCCATATTTACCGTTCTGTGGGCACATACAGTGAAATGAGCAACAGGGTTTGCAAATGCTTATTTTGTAAGACCTTCCCTTAAGTTGTGACTTCTGTTCCAATTCAACAAAGAGGTATTGTGCAGTGCATGGCAATGTGCTGTGGGAATTATAAAGATGAATAATTCCAGTTCATCCATAAAATGGAATAATGTGCAGCTTTGGGAGATCATGCTTTGGAAGAACCCTGCAAAGGGAGGCTCAGGCTATGTGGGTGCTGAGAGATAGGGCTGGAGGGGAGCAGGGGAGGAAGACAGGGGCTCTGAGGATCCCGACAGGGCATGCACGCAGTGGGGCCTCCACAAATGTGGGGAATGCGGGGAAGTGCTCGTGCTCCACATATTATGTGATCCAAAAGGAAAGAGAAGAAAGAAGGAGTGAAAGGGAGGGAGAAAGGGAAAGAGATACCTTGAAGGTGGATAGTAAAAGGATTTACCAAAATATCAACAGAGGCTAGCTCTGGAAGGTTGCATACCTGATTATTTATTTTTCTTTTATATAGCTCTCTATATTCCCTATGTTTCCTACAAGGTATACGTATTACTTCCATAATTTAAATGGTAACAAATGATGTTTTGAAGCAGAAGCATGAGGCATCATGTTGGTCCTCCAGGGGCTCACAATCTACTAGGGGAGATAAACATAGAAACAAGCAACCAGAATAAGCGATAAACTGTGATACGCACTTTTTGGTGGTCACCTTTGCAGAATAGACTGGCTCCTAAAGCTGCAAACTCCTTGACCTCCTGCCTTGTTGCTGCTGGACTGTAATCTACGCTGCCTGCTAAGTGGTGCTTCATGTCTGTCCTCCTCCACTACCTTGCAAGTTCCTGAGGCTTCTCTGGGTCCCCACAGCCTGGCATCATGGCTAGTTTTTGTGTTCTTCTGGTTGCTGTAGTAATGAATGGGTCACCCCCTTCCATATCTTGCTTCCCCTCTCCATAGCTCTGATGTGAATTACCTCATTGAAGAAGCTGCCAAAATGGAGAAGATCAAGTTTCAGCACATTGTGTCCATCTACAGGGTGTGCAAGCAGCCCCTGGGTATTGTGATGGAGTTCATGGCCAATGGCTCCCTGGAGAAGATGCTGCCCATCCACAGCCTCTGCTGGAAGCTCAGGTTCCACATCATCCATGAGACCAGCTTGACCATGAACTTCCTGCACAGCATTAAGCCGCCTCTGCTCCACCTGGACCTCAGGCCAGGCAACATCCTTCTGGACAGCAACATGCATGTCAAAGTAAGGGCTCTGGCCAATCCTCTGCTCCCTTTCACTTGAGGGTTTCCTCTAGGTAAGCAGAATTATCCACCTGCCTGACCAGCCTGACAAGGGTTTTAAGCAGTTCCCTTCATGGACAAATTCTAAAGGCAGGGATCACACTGCAGCAGAGATGGCTAAGCAGTGAAATTTGGGGCCTGAGGCTGGGTATCAGGATGCCTATAATAACCCTCTTTGGACTCAGTTTCCCATTTCTAAATTGGATAGAATAATCTCTATCCCCCCACACTTTCTTTTATTTGGATGGAGATGTGTGTAAATGAGACAATCCCTAAGAAAGGTTGTAATGGACATTCTTTCACTTCCTAAAACTCTTTTATGCCCCAGGACCTTTGCACCTTCTGTTCCCCCACATCCCCCGATTTATCTAGCAAAGGTCTACTCATTATTCAGCTCTCAGCTTAAACATCACCTCCTCAGGGAGCTCTTCCCTGATCTACTCCAGCAGGTCCCCATTATATACCTTCACCGTACCTCTGATTCTCCATATTACTAACCCCAACATAGGTATATAATCATAAGTGAAACACTTTCATTATTGGCTGGACCCCCCATTTGAATAAGTATTTACGAGGATATGGAGTGTGTGTGTTGGCAGGGGGTGTCTCATTTTTCTCATCTGCTGCCCAGTCCTTGGTCCACAGCCTTTCCGGCCCTCAATGCATGGCCAACTTGGCAAGTGAATGACTCAATGGATGGGAGCAAAGGAAAGATAAATGTCCATGGTATAAGTGTTTCAGGGCCCCTGGAGGTGAAATGAACAGCTCACCGAAGGTGGCAACTTCATTCATAGTCTCTGGATAATGGTAACACCTACCGTCTCCTAACTACGTGCCAGGCACTGTTTAAGTGCTTTTTGCATGGTACCTCATTTAGTGCTCACAATAGCACTATGAGTTAAATACTCATATTCCTTCTACTTTACAGATGAAGAAACTGAGGCTCTGGGAAGATAAGTAATTTGGCCAAGATCATCCAGATAGTCAGTGGTAGTGCTAGGAGGGAGTGCCATAGAAAACCATTACGCTACCCTGGAACAGGCAGATGGCAGGAAGGGTGAGAAGCCATAGTCATTTTCTGTTCATGTGACTCTGTCGCGTCCTTATCCCTGCCCCTGCTTTCTCCCAGACTCCAGACTTCGGCCTGTCCAAGTGGATGGAACAGTCCACCCGGATGCAGTACATCGAGAGGTCGGCTCTGCGGGGCACGCTCAGCTACATCCCCCCGAGATACTCCTGGAGAGTAACAAGGTCCCGGGGCCCAAACATGATGTGTACGGGTGAGAAGGAGGCCAGGCACAATGCCACACACGCAGCAGGCAGCTTGCTGCCACCACCCTGCCTGGCCACTATGACCCAAAGGACAGAGCAGTGCGGGGATGAGGTCTGGCCCAAGGCAGAGGGCTGGGGAGGACTCTGGCTGGAGAGGTGGAGGCCTGGGGAGGACTCTGGCTGGAGAGGCGGAGGCCTGGGGAGGACTCTGGCTGGAGAGGCGGAGGCCTGGGGAGGACTCTGGCTGGAGAGGCTTGCCTGGGACTGTGTGAACCGTAGTCCCCCCAGGCTGGGGTGATCTTGGCTGTTCAACTAAGTCATTCAGAAAGCGTTTTCTGCATCCACAGCTTTGCGATTATCATCTGGGAGCTCCTCACTCAGAAGAAACCATACTCAGGTAAGCAGGCAGCTGTGACTCTGTGTCAGGGGCAACAGGGCCCCTGGGAGGGGTTCCTGGAAGGGGCTGTGGGAGGACTGAGGGTTGAGAGGGAGCGCAAGTCCAGGTGTGTGTGGAACTGTATTCTCTTCAGGGATTCCTCTCCTCACCCTCCTTCCTTCCTGCCTCTATTTCTAGAGCTCATGTCACAGCTAAAGGAAAGGGAAGGTCAGCCCAGCCCCCAGCCCATGCTTTGTGGCTCTAACTTCCTTGCTTCTAAAGTGCCCTTTCTGCTTTCTCATACCCCTACCCCCTGCCACCTAGATGCCAGGTAAAGAGACTGCAGGAAACTTGGAAAACCTTGCAACGTTGAGAGTCAGAGCTTTTACCTAGGCCTGTCTGTCAGCCCTGCTACTTTTGGACAGCACAGACCTGCAGTGCGGGGTCATGTCTAGTCTTGACCTGGGAGGTGGCTGGAGCCAGACCAGAGAGACTTGGCTACTCAACACAGAAACTCAAGTCGGTTGAAAGTCTAGCTGTTTACTCACCAAGCATTTGTGGAGCCACCACTGCGTGCATGCCCTGTTGGGATCCTCAGAGTCCCCGCTTTCCTCCCCTGCTCCCCTCCAGCCCTACCTCTCAGCACCCACATAGCCTGAGCCTCCCTTTGCAGGGTTCAACATGATGATGATTATTATCCGAGTGACGGCAGGCATGCGGCCCTCCCTACAGCCTGTCTCTGACCAATGGCCAAGCGAGGCCCAGCAGATGGTGGACCTGATGAAATGCTGCTGGGACCAGGACCCCAAGAAGAGGCCATGCTTTTTCTAGGTGTTCATCCGGTGCCCCTTGCCCAGGGACTGGGAGCTGCGTGCGGCTGGGAGGGGAGATGACTGGGCAGTCCTGAGAGCTATGCAAAGAGACACTTTCGACCCTATGGCCTTTTTTTTTTTTTTTTTTTTCCCCAGAGACACGGTCTCTGTGGTCCAGGCTGGAGTATGGTGGTGTGATCATTCTTCACCATAAGAACGAACTCCTGGGCTCAAGAGATCCTCCTGCCTCAGCCTCCTGAGTAGCTAGAACAACAAGCACACCACTATGCCTGGCTAATTTGTAGATTTTTTTAAAAAAAAGATGGGGTCTCACTGTGTTATTCAGGCTGTTCTCAAACTCCTGGCCTCAAGGGATCCTCCTGCCTCATCCTCCCAAAGTGCTGGGATTACAGGTATGAGCCACTGTACCTGGCCTAGAAGGACTTTTTGAGGCAGAATCTGCATCACGGGGCTGGGAGGGCAGCATTGAGAGCCAGGAGTAGCTGAGGATGGGTTCTGGGCTCTATGAGTGTTAATGCATGTACCTGTGGGAGGCAGAGTAGAAAACCCTCGGCGCCAAAAGGCAGAAGCCACAGCATCTGGGACTGGCCCTGTCGCCAAACTCTCCAGCCAGGCTTGGGTCCTTTCAGAGCTACTGTTTCCTCATTTGTAAAATGTTTCCAGGCCATAAGATCGCAGGCCGGGAATGGCCCATGAGGTCATCCAGTCCTTTGGGGACTGTGAAAATGTATCTGTGTGTAAGTGTGAGCATCTTAGAGATCGCCTAACCTTGCCCCCTCAATCTGTAGGAAGGGACCCTGATAACTCAGAGGGTCAGTGACTTGCTGAAGGTGCCCCATGACCCAGGTTTCCTGCCTTCTCATGCGTGTATATGAACATACGCTCATATGTTCAATCCAGGAATGGATTTTGGGAGGAGACAGGAATGCTAGGGCATCTAAAACAGGGAGGGTACTGTGGGCCAGCCTGTTGCTTCCTTTCCTGTCTTTCTCCCATTCATGGAGCAGACATTACCATTAAGACAGACATACTGCTGTCACCGCTGCAGAGTCCTGTGGTTGTCCCAGAGAGCGAGGCCCTGGCCAGGAAGGTGTCTTGCAAGCTGTTGCTATGCCAGCCCCGGGAGGTGAGTGTGTGAGCTGGGCAGTCCTTACGGTCATGCAAAATGGAGCCCGCTGTGTGGACTGTTGTGATCTCTGGCCAGACACTGAACACTCATGCACAGCTCAGCTCGGGGCCACCTCCATCCAGAGGGAACACCTTTCCCTAATTTGCACGAAGGTGCGCCAAGGGATAGTGGTGACTGGAGGACAGAGCCCCTGGGAAGGATATACCTTCTCTCACATGCTTGGGACCAAGCTGACTCCTGTCCTGCAAAGGAAGGCCTGGCTCTCCCAAGCTTTCATGCTGTGGGTGTCAACATCATCCCCCTGCTCTCCTGTCCCTACTGTAACACGGGAACCAGCCATGGGTTAGCATGGTACTCCCCTAGCTGAACTCACAGATCCACCCTGAAGTTCACATGGCCCAAGCAGAAGGCAAGGCCCTGAGCTGCCTCTTTCTGGAGGGTTTTTCCAGCTCAGTGTTTTCCTCTGGAGAGCTGGCGATAGTCATAGCAAAGGAGAAGAGTCTCCCAAGATAGGGTGGGCTGTGAGTCCTGACAGTGACCTGGAGTCCTGGAGAGAGGGAAGGAGGGGAGGAGGGCACAGGCTAGAACTGCACCACTGATCTCCACCTTGCCTGCTGGTTATGCCTCCCCAGGTGAGTGAGGACATCAGCCAGGAACTGTTGGACAGCGGTGAGTCTGGGTGCCACGGGTGGGACCAGAGAACTCACAGCAGAGAAAGTGGAGTCAAACCACACCCTTTCCCCATCTCCCTGGCCTCCCCCTCCTCCCCAGGCCTGTCACACATCCAGGGTTTGGATGCCCTTTTCCAGCACCCAGCTGCATGTTCAGAAAGGCACATGCCCTCAGGGAACCTGGCCGCCTCCCCTTCAGGTCTGTGTCCTTGCAAGACCGGATTTCTCCTTTCCTGACCTGAGAGGTGGAATATTGGTTCTCAAGGCTAGCTGCATGTTAGAATTGCTTGGGAAATTAAAAAAAAAAAAAAAAAAATGCTTTGCCTTGGGCACACCCTAGACTAATTAAACCAGAATCTGTGAGGGTCAGGCCTGGGTAGTAATCATTTATTCTAATACTCCACTGGGTAGAGCAAAAGGATGTTGATCCTTAAGACCTCAGAGGGGAGTTTAGATCATAGAGCTCCAATCACAAGTTTATTTCCAACTTACAACTACTTACTTCCCCTCAGGCCCTCCCCTAAAAGCTCTTACCTACGTAATTTGTCCTTCAATGGTAGAAGGAGCTGGTCATTGTCTGTCCTCTCTTTGCTGATCCAGATATGGAAGCTCAAAGAGGCAGTGAATTGGCTAAGGTCGTGGGATGCTGAGGGGTGAAACCAGGATTTGCACTCAGGCCTCCTGAGCCCACTGCTCTTTCTGCCTCATCTGTGGGGAAAGGACTGCCGGACTCAGTTCTCCAGGACGACAGAACCTGAACTTGAATAGACAGTTATGGCTGTGGAGAGAGCATGCTTAGGAAAGGCATTGCGCTTACTGCTCTAGTCTCTGTTCCTGGATGGTGCTTCCAGGAGGCAGGGGGATGGCCATGATGACCTCTGGACAGGTCACAGGTCTTTTATTTCAACCCCATCTTTCTCCCAGCAGACTCAGGAAACGACCTGAAGTGGACCTTTCAGCTCTCCGACCGTGAGAATTTGGTCCCAAGAGATGAGGAACTGTGCATCTATGAGAACAAGGTCACCCCCCTCCACTTCCTGGTGGACCAGGGCAGTGTGGAGCAGGTGAGGTTGCTGCTGGCCCATGAGGTAGACGTGGACTGCCAGGCGGCCTCTGGATACACGCCCCTCCTGATCGCCGCCCAGGACCAGCGACCCGACCTCTGTGCCCTGCTTTTGGCACATGGTGCCGATGCCAACCTAGTGGATGAGGATGGTTGGGCCTCGCTGCACTTTGCAGCCCAGAATGGGGATGACCTCACTGCGTGCCTGCTCCTGGACCACGGGGCCTGTGTGGATGCCTAGGAACATGAGGGATGGACCCCTCTTCACCTGTCTGCACAGAATGACTTTGAGAATGTGGCACAGCTTCTGGTCTCCCATCAGGCTGACCCCAACCTGCATGAGGCTGAGGGCAAGACCCCTCTCCACGTGGCCGCCTACTTTGGCCATGTGAGCCTGGTCAAGCTGCTGACCAGCCAGGGGGCTGAGTTGGATGCTCAGCAGAGAAGCCTGAGAACACCACTGCACCTGGCAGTAGAGCGGGGCACAGTGAGGGCCATCCAACACCTGCTGAAGAGTGGAGCGGCCCCGATGCCCTTGACCAGAGCGGCTACAGCCCACTGCACACTGCGGCTGGCAGAGGCAAATACCTGATCTGCAAGAGGCTGCTCAGGTACGGAGCCAGCCTTGAGCTGCCCACCCACCAGGGCTGGACACCCCGCATCTAGCGGCCTACAAGGGCCACCTGGAGATCATCCATCTGCTGGCAGAGAGCCACACAAACATGGGTGCTCTCGGAGCTATGAACTGGACTCCCCTGCACCTAGCTGCACGCCACAGGGAGGAGGCGGTGGTGTCGGCACTGCTGCAGGGCGGGGCTGACCTCAATGCTGCAGGGCAGTCAGGCTGGACACCCCTCCACCTGGCGGTCCAGAGGGGCACCTTCCTGAGTGTCATCAACCTCCTGGAACATCACGCGAATGTCCACACCCGCAACAAGGTGGGCTGGACACCTGCCCACCTGGCCGCCCTCAAGGGCAACACAGTCATCCTCAAAGTGCTGGTCAAGGCAGGCGCCCAGCTGGACGTCCAGGATGGAGTAGGCTGCACACCCCTGCAACTGGCCCTCCACAGCCGAAAGCGGGGCATCATGTCCTTCCTAGAGGACAAGGAGCTGTCAGTGGCCACTCTGGGTGGTGCTGAGCCAGGAGCCCAGACAGAAATTTAGACAACTTGGCCAGGCGTGGTGGCTCACGCCTATAATCCCAGCACTTTGGGAGGCTGAGGCAGGCAGATCACGTGAGATCAAGAGTTTGAGGCCAGCCTGGCCAACATGGTGAAACCCTGTCTCTACTAAAAATACAAAATTTAGCTGGGTGTGGTGGCATGTGCCTGTAATCCCAGCTACTAGGGAGGCTGAGGCAGGAGAATTCCTTGAACCCAGGAGGCAGAGGTTGCAGTGAGCCGAGATCACACCACTGCACTCCAGCCTGGGCAACAGAGCGAGACTCCATACACACACACACACACACATAGGAAGGAAGGAAGGAAGGAAGGAAGGAAGGAAGGAAGGAAGGAAGGAAGGAATTTAGACAACCTGGGCCTCTCGCCTGGATGGAGTAGGAATTGGTGAAAGTGCAGCTGGGCTTCTGGCAGGGCGTCTTCCCCGTCTGCACTCTTCACCTGCCCCTTCAACCTCGAGAGGAGACAGGAACCTGGGTGACGGAGGCATGGGGAGAGGTACCACTGTGGCTGCAGCTGAGGAAGGGGCCCTGGCTTGGAAAGCTGCCTTCAACACGTCCTCCAGTCACTTCCAACAGAACCCAGGCTTCCTCCCCCTCCTTTTTGGGGATGCAAGCCCCCCAAATGAATCCCCTCTCCAATCCAAGACACCTGTGACCTTTTGCCACTCGCCTCTGAGTTCACAGGGGCCCTTGCATCCTAGCAGACCCCCTCTGAAGATGGTGGGAGGTACAGCAGTGAGGGAAGCAGGATCCTCCCATCTCATGTCTTGTGTTCTTGGCTCCTTACCTCAGGCTGGGGTGGGAGAGCCAGACACATGTGCTTTGCTCAAGGTGCAGAAGCTAAAAGTTCAAAGGAGGTTTCTGCTTGCTGTTTAAAGTCCCAGCCAGCCACCTGTTGCTGCACTGACCACAGCTTTCCAGTGCCCCTGATCCCAGTGTGTGGGTCTCCCTCATGGCCTTTGGGGGGTATAGGAAAGGTACACTCCAACTGTGGATGTCACCCTATGTGAGATGCGAGGTCTCTGGTCCCCAGTGCCACCCTTCACCCTTCATCGTGTCCAGTTTTAAGGCCAGATTTCAAACTCTGAAGTCAAGAAAGCTGAGGCTCTGAGTCTCCTGTTTAGAGACGGATTGGCCTGTGGAATCAAGTTGCATATAGAGGCCAGTAGCGTTAGTATGGTGTGCTTGTATGTGATTTGTCTAATGTAGGGTATATGTGTGTGCATATGTGTGTGTTCACAGTAACTTTATGTGACCAGAGCCCTAGTTCAGCTTCCAGGAGAGCAGCCAACAATTTGGAGGAGTGGGGACAGGATGAGTGTCCTGGGGCTCTATCCTGCTCCTTCTATCTCCCTACACTGCTGGACAGCCCAGTAGAAGCAGCCCCTCCCACTCAAGGACGTTTTGCAATTGTCAGAGAAAAGGAATCATCTGTCCCACATATTGGCCAGCTCTGAGCCAAGCTGATTGGCAGGCCCACCTCTGCATGTCATTCTCCTGGGCTGGGCACTCCAGTCTGGGCATGGGGCCAGCAGCCAGCAGCCTGGCATCAGCATGGTGTGAGAGAGGTGGGGCAGAGGAAATGTGTTGCCCACGTGCAATCCTGTTGAATTAACAAGTCCCTTTCAGCACAGCTAGCAGCTTTGTGTCCTCCATCCTTTGGCCTCTGGACCACAGCTCCAGCCTGTTGGGCCCTGGGCCCTTTACCACCGCCTTGCCATAGCTTATGGCCACCATGGAAAGTCAGGTGTGAGCCCAGGAAGCTGGAGTGTGTCCTAGAGCCAGGGTTGTAAACTGAACCTGCACATTAAAATCTCCTGGGCGAGGGGCTTTTAAAATATACCAACGCCTGGCCCTACCCTCAACCAATTAAACCAGAACCTCCAGGGTAGGAACCTGGTGTGAGCATCATTAACAATTCCCAGGTGATTCTGAAGAGCACCCAGGGCTGAGAAGCACTGGGGCGTCTCATGGTTTCTCTCTGTGCCCTTCCTTAGCATAACCCTGCAGACATCATGACCAGCAACTTGGGTATCAGAGGTCTTTTTCTCTCCCATTTGGACTCCTGAGGACTGGGGGCAGGGGACGCTCAGCTGACTGTTCCATCCTCCTACTCCCTGCTAGCTGCCCAGCTCAATCTCTTTAGTCTCACTGAGACTAAGCCTTAGGCAAAACTTGTAGTTAAAGATGTCCCTAGGAGTTCTATCTTTCCCAGAACATGGAGGAGCAGGAGGAGGGAAGTGGAGGAGGCACAGGGCTGTTTGCTTCTCCTTGCACTCTGAAGTCTCCCACCTACCGGGATCCTATCTGCCCTTCCAGATCTAACTCCAAATCTAGGACTCTGTGAGAGCCAGAGAAGGCTCTGGGGCTACATTCTTCCAGCCAGGGGAGCTCAGATCCATTGGTGTGAGTGATCAGGAAGGAACCAAAGGGGGAGAACAGTAGCTGGCTGATCCTATTGGAAAGAACTGAGAACTGAGAAAAGGCCTTGAAGAAAAGATTTAGAAAAAGTAGGTGATCCTTTGCACCTAGAGTCCAGTGAATGGCAGGGATGCCATGTGGACAAGACTGTCCCCTGGAATCATTTCAGCTCTGGTGATCCTGAGTCTAGGCAGAGATTCTCACACCTCTGCTTCCTCCACTTCCTTCCTCTAAGAGATAACTCTTAGACGTGACTTCAGGCCAGCCCATGGCCCCTCATTACCTACCAGTGTCCTCTTCTGCCCTATCAAGCCGCTCCTAGCCAGACACAGACACACACAAACACACACAGTATCCACCTTGAGTCCCATTTCAACACAGTTGCCTTCTAGAGCTTCCCTAAGGATGTTTAAAATTGGGTTTGAATGAGGCCCTTGAAATTCCCAAGGAGAGGGTCTCCAGTGGAAGTTCAAGCCCTATTTAGGGGAGACTGGGGATCAGGGGGATAAGAGCTCCCTAATGTCTTGCTGGGCATCTCCTCTTGGAGGTCCTGTAGACCCCTTCAACTCAAAGTGTCCCAACCTAAGCATTCTCTTCTTCCTCCACAAGCCTGACTTCACCCTTTATACTCCATTTTAGTTGAAGGTATCCAAACTCCTAACTTAGGAGCCATTCTGGACCAGCACTGGGAGGATGGAAGCCTTCTATATCCACACTGCTCAGTACGATAGCCGCCAGCCACAGGTGCTGCTGAGCACTTGAAATGTGGCTCGTGTGACCAAGGAATCAAGTTTTTTTATTTCAATAAATTAAATGTGGGTATCTAGCCACATGGGGACAGTGGACAGCACAGTCCAGTCTATACCTGTCTTGCCTCCTCCAGGCAGTTGCTGTGTTGCATGGGGTCGATCAGGAAGGGGTTTTCTAGGAGATGTGTATGTTGAAATGAGGACAAGGACAGAGCAGAAGAGGAGCAAAGCCTGGACTGGATAGAAGGGGAGAGGATCAGCTGGGGAATGTGAAAGAGACACAGCTGCTATGGAGAGCAGACGGTGGCCAGCCGATGGAGGGACAGTGCTGTCCAGGTGTGGGTGGGGAGGTGTGTATTCGGTGGAGAGACCTTAATGTCCATTCTGATTTGGGAGCTCCCACACAGGATGACGGACAATTGGGAGCTGCTGTCAGTTTCCCAGCAGAAGGAGGATGCAATCAGAACATGCCATGCATCCTAAAGACCTCTTCAGCTGTGTGCGGGATGAGGAAATGGGGGCCAGTGGTGGGAGATGGGGACCCTGCCCTATGGGGCTTCAGAGCCAGGCACACCTGGCTTGGCATCCCAATTCTGCCCTTTGCTATCTGTGGGCTTTACCCAGACTTTCCAGGCTTAGGTATCTGTATTTATAACAGATTTGCTATCTCAGGGATGCAATTAGATCACGCCTATCTCCAGCACACATTGGTACTCACCGTCACTTCTCTCCTCTTCCAACTTTCTGTTCCTGTCGTTTCTCACCAATGTTACTCAAGTAACTCCCTCATTACCCTTTACCCATATGACAGCCTCCTTTCCCATCCTAAACTGTGCTTCAACCAATCCAGCCCACCTCAAGGAGGACATTCCTGGGTCCTGGGAGATGGCATCCCCTAGCCTAGCCATCCCCAGAGGTGCAGATAGCCCAGATTGTTCCACCTGGATCCTTTCTTGTGCTGGGAGATGGAAGCTGTTGATGGAACCCTCCAGTTATGAGGCTGGGGATCCTAAAGGAGCCGGGGAGGCTTGGCAAGCTGTCTCCACAGCAAAGTGTAGGGCAGAGGCCCAAACGGGCTGCCGCCACTGTCTAGAAGGGAGGCAGGACTGTGGGGATCAGCAGAAAACTCCTCAGGGGTGAAAAGGCCTATGGGAAGTGAGGAGACTGGGGAGACCATGTCCCTCTCCAAAGCCAACCTGAGGGGAGTGAGCCCCAGGGAGAGAATGACAAGGGGCAGGGCTGAGAAGGGGAGGAAACAAGGCTCTGGGCCTGTGACAGGGAGGAGAGGAAGGAGGGAGCCCCAGGACTTCCTGAACACACAGATGGCAGCTCTGGGGTGATCTTGTGTTCAGGAACATTCCTTTCCTGATGCCCCCTGCGCTTGCCTATAGAACACATCTCACCAACATGTGAGGGCCTCCAGTGAGTGAGGGCTCCAGCCCACTCTGAAACCAGCCAGACTTGCTGCCTTGCTGCAGTCCCCACCAGCCCCAGGCCCCTCTTCCTGCTAATGCTGAGTCCCCTTCTTCCACCGGTGCCTGCCAGGATCTGATCTGGCCTTCCAGATCCAACTTGCCTGTCCCTGCCCATGAACACTTCTCCACTTGCCCCCTGGAGATGTTCACTCCTTCCTCAGGGGCAGTCTATTCCGATGCCCAGTGTAGTGAGGTTGACAGAGCTGCTCTCAGGTCCACCTTCCTTGCTCATTGCATGCCACGTCACCACGCCCTGCTTGTTTCTGTGTTCCATCCAGTCCTCTCTTAGTGCCCTGGTGTCTGGGGCTCAGAGGGTGCTTCCTCCCTGATCACTGAATTGGATCACAGGTAGCAGGGGTTTTTGCTGTAAGGTCATGTAAGGGACAGAGGACAGGAACCAGGCTATGCTGAGGTCGGGGAGGGAAACT